TAACTTGCTCAAATTTTGGATATTTTGAATGATTCAAGTTTCAAAATGTCACTCAAGAGATCTACTTCATGCCATATTTTTTATTCAAGAGGAAATTCCAAGTGGAAATCCACATTTGGATGCAAGACATTATAGGTCATTTTTGAAGAAGAATTTGAAATATTTCTAAGTATGGAAAGTCAACCCTTTTTCTTCAACTTTGACTCAATGCAACTTTCATCTCAATCATCCATTTAACTCCATTATTTTTACATTGCAAAGCTTGTAACCTCATCCCTCTAAAGCATCAAGAATCATGCCTTAAGACCCCTTGAGCTGAGAATGCCACTGTCTCAAAAATGGTAACTTGGAATTGAAGTTTCCTTGTAAGTCAGAATTTGAATTTCATGTTACAACCTCTAAATCTCAAATCAACACGCGTTTTGGGTATAAACATGATTATCCAACTCTCCCAAGTGGATTAGTGCATCAAAACGCAAGAATTGGATGAGTTTTGGTGAAGTTTGGATCACACTTCACTCGTGCATCAGGTTTGCACGAATTCCCTCCAAAACACATCATTCACTCTCCCTTTTGATCCCATTCGCTTCTCCTATAAATACATGAGCTATCCCTTTCATTTTCCCAAGCTTGGATAGCCAGAATCACCCTGCCAAACTTGTTCCATAACTCAGAATTCAGCAACTTCAAAATCCATTCTCGAGCCTTTTTTAATCCAATATTTCCATCAATTCACCTTCCTTGATCATCCCTGAAGCTAACCATATAATTACATTCAAGAATCGTGCCCTATACTGCTCCATAGAAGTCCAGTTTCAGAGCTCTGCAACTTAACTTCAATAGGTAGATTCCTTCATAAATTCTTCAAAACTCTGATATCATTGTGTTGCTCTCATTGCCCTGGTTCTAGTCGCAACACTTACCTTTCACTGGAAACACGTTTTGATCATAAAATTTCAAATCCCTTTTCAAAACTTTCCTTCCCAATTGCTTGAGCTACAGTTTATATAAATTTGGTACGAGGGAGTGGTTGTCTTTGTCTTGAAGAGACGAAGCGAATGACATAGGTATGAGCTTCTGATTTTACAGTTTGAGAGACCTGCAATTCGTGATGACTGGAGGTTGAAGATGACCAACGCGTTTTGACTCTTATCCAATGGTCCACATATTTTACTTTTATTTTCTTTTTTTGATTTTTATATTTTAATTGTTTTAAATTTCAAAAAATCATAGAAAATTCATTTTTAGTCCAAAAAATCTGAAAAAATTATGAAAAATATTTTTGGTTATTCTCTTTCTGATTTTTATTTTTTCACAATTTAATTTTGTGTTTTGGTATTTTTTATAAATTTTACACTTATTTGATTTGTTTTAAATGTTTAAAAATACTTTTATACATTTTTAAATTCTGAAAAAATTATGGAATGATCCAATGATATTATGACAAATATTGGTGACCTAATTTTTTTTCCTGACTTTACTATTTTTTATCATTTTTGGTTTATTTTACCCATTTCTTTTAATTTAAAAAAATAGTTTTTGACTTTAAAAAATTACCAAAAAATTGGTAAAATTATTTGAGCTTTTTTCTGATTTTTCTATGGTCTTAATTTTTATTTCTTGATTAATTTGAACATAGTTGATATTTTTCTCTTTATTTTCTATTTTTAAACATTATCTTTAACCCCTTTTGTATATATTAAAATGTAAAATTATTTTGTGACTATTTTCTGGATGATCTTGGGTTAAACTTTGGATCATGAACTTTATTAACATCATTGGATCCATGGTGTTGAGTTTAAATCCACAAAAATGGATGAATAATTTTAATAATAGTTTGATTAAATTTAATTCAAAAGTGGTTTGTACATTCTCTCCCATCCCTCTTCATCTCATCCCCTTCTTATTTCACTAGATGTTGTTGGAGCATGATCTCTATATCATGTCTCAAAATAAATGGTGCATAGATTTCTATTGACCGACCTCAAAATAGGTGCGACTTCTATATAAGTCCACTTACGATTGCTTAACATAGCGCTAAATTTTGTCCCGATTCGAATAAATGATCATTCGTGGCCCAAACTTATGATTGTAAGCCCAAGTATGTTAATTTGATCTCTTTGATCCAATAACCTTGAGATTCATTGTGTGGAGGCTTTGGTTCTACCAATCCTCTAATGGATCTACAACACCTTTGGTCAACGCGGATCACTTAAACATCATTGATCATTAAATGGTACTTGTGAGAATTCCAAATGGATGATATACTTGACAAAAAGAAAATGAAACTTGTTGTGTGGAGGCTTTGGTTCTACCAATCCTCTAATGAGTTCCAAATGCAAGCTTCAAGATGGTCATCCAACTAACCACTAACTATTGACTTATTTTACCTTATGCTTTTATTCTTTTTTATGCTTTATCTACCATTTACTTTTAGCATTTACATTTCATGCCATTTTCATCTTTGCTCATTTGAGTATTTACTTTCTTTCCATTTTTACTTTACTCACTTGAGCTTTTCTTTTCCTTTCTTAAGATACTTAATAATCAACATAAACCCTAAAAAATCTTTAACGTAACTTGGACTATTTGGTTACTATCCTTGGCATTATGGAGCATGGGACTTTTCTTGGACTTAGGATTAGAATCCTTGGCCTATCTTGGAAACCTTGTGATCTTATCTGATTATTTTGTCTGGAGTTCTTGAGATTTACCTCAAGACATTGGGTTGCTTGTTTGTTCTTGTGTGCAGGTTTTTGTGATTACACCCTCTATTTGTAATCTAGAATTCACCCGTATACAATCGTTACTCTGCCCAATTTTTGTGAAGACTTAATACACTTGAAGTTTGGTTATCTCAAGAGGTCTAGTATTTTTTGCTTGATTGGTTTCAATTCAAGGAATGAGAATTCTATCTTGACTCATAATGTCAAGTACTGGCTTCTTGTTGGTTAGATGGTTCTTATCCCTAGCTTTTGCTTTATACTTTAGGATAGTCCCTTCTTCTCCTCCCATCTTCTTTAATTTCAAAAATATTCTTCCCCCTTTTGAAATCTCTTCTTGTTTTTGACCTTGAACCACTTTCATAGTAAACTTGGACTTATGTCCATGCATTTTCAAAACATTTTCATAAATAAACTCCAATCAACTTAATAATACCTTGACATTTTTTATGAGAAAGACTAAAAGTCAATCAATCTCATTTCAAACCATTTTGCCACTTTGGCTTTTATCTTTAAACTTATCTCAAAAGGTTGAACTCTTGTCAATCCTTGTAGTGATGCAAACAACCATACTTCTACAATATGTAGTGAAGAGAGATATTTTCCACTTGGGTGTTGAGTGAGGAATTGTTGATTTTGAAATCCAAGCCATATCCTCCACTTTGAGATGATGCAAATTCTCCTTTCTTATGATTGTGGGTAGTAGGTATGTTTTCTACACGGACAATCACAATGATGTTTTATATCATAAAATTATCCAACGCATATGTGTTTTAATTTTTTAAAAGAGGAACTATGCGTACCCTGATCCCCTATTGCACGAAAAGGTGGTACGTAGGCACTAAAGGTTCGCAATCGCGGCGGGTGAAAAAATTATAAAATAAATATATTTCTTTCCTCACCTCCACCATCCATTTTTTTATATATATATACAACATTTTTTATAGCCAAAATATATAGGTTTTACAAAGAGACTCTTGCGCAGTATCGTAGATGTTTAGGGTGATAATACCTTCCCTTTGCATAACCAACCCCCTTGCCTTGAATCTTTCCCCTTCTTTTTTTGGGTAATTCGCTCTTTTCCCATTCCTTTGGAAACAATAAAGCACGGTGGCGATTTTTATTTTGATTTGTATAAAGTCTAGTCAATCCAATGGCTTAGTCTTGAACATTTCTACCGCTACATTAGGTACCCCTCATCTACCTTGCTCACAAGGATACTAAGGTTTAGAATTATGGCTTAGGAAATTGGGTTTTAGTTTTTTATTAGGGGAACTTGCCACAATTTTAGTCGTATGCCTACGTATCTTCTGATGAGGAATCAAAGTCTCAATTTGTAGTTCGCAGTATTTGTTGGTGTTTTTTATAGGATTGCATAGAATTGATTTCAAATTTATCCTTGAACCTTGTCTAGGTTATAAGTTAAGTGATCGTAGACGCAATTCACAGTTAATTTTGAAAGTAATTCTCCTTAATCTTTTTTCAAAAAAATCTTGTAGCTTTTGTTGTGTTAGTAAAAAATGATTTTTGATTGGTTAGCTATATTAAGACGTAGAGTGGGGGAACTCTAATATAATCTCCTCATTACATGGTCAGATATTGGCCGCGTGTCGCTTGCGGATGGTGAATTTGGCGAGTTGCATGTGTTTTAATTATTTGTTTTTAAATAATAAATCGGTAGACGATGTTTCGACTGATTTAATTACTCGAAGATGAATAGAATGTTTGAATTAATTAATTTTATTATAAAAAATAAGATTTTATGTATGACTTATTTTTTATGTGATTAAATAATATAAGTAAATTAATTACAAAGTTAAATTAATAAATTAAACTTAATAAAATGCCATGGCCTAATATTAAACCTAAATAAATAAATTAATGTAACTAATAGAAATACTAATCTAAATAATTAGATTAAGGGTGTAGTAGAAAGTTGGAGGATATAAATTAGTAGGAGAATAGAATTTAGGGCCTAAGGCTCATTTTCACATTAAACCCTAATACTAAACTAACTAATAGATAAGTAATAAAATTGAAAGAAATAATGGTACCTTATACACACAAACACATTTTAAGAGAGAGAGAGTACTATTTTCTTTAAATTTCCATCTTCTCTCTCATTATATTCCTCTCCTGGTTATTGTAACTTTTCATATCTTTTGAAACAACACAAAATCTTCTCTTTCCACAACCAACCTAATCATACAAATAAACATACATTCAAAATCAAAACACCAAAAATAAGAAAAGGAGACTAACCAAATCCAAGGAGATATGGTGGTTCGTTCGGAATCATGTGATTTTGGCGACAACTTCAGGTGGAGTTGGAGTCTGATGGTCGTGGTTAGAGGAGTTGAGCGGCAGAGGTCTGGTATCAGAATCTGGTGGGAGCAATGGTCCCATCGTCGGAGTCGTAGGTGCAGTAGCATCAGAAGCTTCAATTTAATTACGTACGGTGTTAGGCGATGGCTTCCATTTTTCTTTGGTATCTTTGCAACTCCGGATCCACGGTTCTTCTTCTTCTTTTCCTTGGAATTATCTTCTTTGATAACTTGTACGCACAACTGAAATTACACAACCAATCCTCTTTTTTTTGCCTCTTCTTTTTCAATCCAATCTTTTGAACTTGAATTGTGGTTGCTGTTAACTTTTGGTGTCAAAATATGTGTTTGTATACAGGCTCTATTTTGAAAACAATTTGTGTTATTGTTGAATTGTTCTTAGTTTTCTCTTTGCAGGTTATTGGTTTTGAGGAGATTTGTAATAAGTTATGTTGTTTCTAATGGTTTGTATGCTTGGTAGTGAAAAACGTGACAAAGATGGCGGAGAAAAATGGAGGATTTCTTTTGACAAAAATAGAGATTTGTTTTCTGAAATAACTTTAAGGTTTTGACTTTGTTGATTTGTGTAGTGGTGGTGTGACAGTTACAGTGAACAAGCCAAGTGTGTATCACTATATAAAACCCATATACAAATGTGTTAGAATTGGGGTTAGTGAAAAGGTCCTCCGAAAATTAATAAGAATATAATTATGAAAATGTAAGCTATCATCGTTTGTTGGTTATTGTCGGATATAGACATCAACAGGGTTTCAGGGTTAAAGAAAATGTTAAAAGTGTGATACAAGAGATTCAAACTCGCGACCTCATACTTGCAAGCTTAATTCTTTACCAATTGTGCTACCTTGTTTATTCAAAATAAAAATACATTTGAAAGCATACGAAGGTCGATAAAATATTTATTTATTAAAAAATACAAATGATCTGAAATAAATCATTATATTTTTAAATAGGTTTGAAAATAAATATTTATAAAGATTAAAGAATATTATAAAACCAATGTTGAAAATATTTTTGACCGTAAAAATAAAGGGCGAACAAATTTGGGGTATGACAACTGCCCATATTTAATCACTCTTCGATTGAATGGTGTGAGAATGTACAGGTCTCGCATGTTCGAATCGGAGAGTTATTAAATAATGGAAGACCCCAAAATTTGACAAAAGGTTGGCTAGATAAGGATACGACGTGCATCGTTCCCCCAAGAATTTTTGAAGAAATAGGCAAATATGCTGATGTATCACCTTACCAGAATTTGAACAAAAGTATATAGGCAAGGAGGATGATGTATCATCCTACCAAAGTTTGAGTAGAGAGTGAAAATTAAAGAGTAAGATTGATCCAGATATGACGACGCGAACAACTTGTCAATACCTAGAAAAAGATATCGTAGTTTTTGCGTATTCACCATAACCTAGGAGATAAAATAACACAAGTTGAAAGATTGATATTTTATTGCTGCATGGAGGCTGATGCAACAAACTAGATCGCAGTAATATACTAGTTTGAAATTTCGACTTACTAAAGCTTCGAGACTAATATAGAAAGCTTAAGACAAGTTCTATTTTATCTTGCTGGTAAATTAGAACCTGCAAGGTGGCCAATGATGACCTTTTGTCGAGCTGGAATATCGAGGAGGAAAAAGGAGGGTTGTACCTACAAGGCACTCCGACGATCAAGTAAGTGTGGGAGCAAAGAGATACAAGCAAAGTATTGGGGTTTTAGTGGTGCATAGTGAATATTCAATACTTGGCCCTCACATGTGTGAGGGTTTATATAATGCCCCTGGCGCGTGGCCATTGGTTCTTATTTTTGGGCCTAGATATGCGGATCCGTGAAAATAGGTAACTTCCAGGACTTGGTCATACCGAGCAGGTGTGCCCGTAACTAGCCGTTGGTACCGAGGAGGAGGTAGGTTACAGGCAGCGGTCTGGTGGATTCCTGGTTGTCTGGTCGTGTTCCTAGTTGGGTAGACTGGAAGGCGCTCGTCGATCACCAAAGGCCAATGCTGGTCTAAGAGGGCAAACAATCGACGGTGTCCGGTGGAGGGCACTAGAGATTCGGGCAGTGTTGTGTGCACTTTATCGAAGGAGGATTCTAGACTGGGCCCACATAGGCTTCTAGGCAAGTCCAGAGCAGTTGCGCCCTGTAATACGGTGGAAGAACTGACTTGGGTGTTTTGTGTTTTGTCGCAATTATTATGGATAGCAAGAGTCTCCACCTACTTTTCTTTAATCCAATAAAGGAAAGGGTGAAAAGAACAGGAAATACCTTTTGAGAATTTTCTTGAGTTCGGGGGGTAGGTTTTGAAAAGGGAAGGTGTTAGCACCCTTTTCATTTGTAGTTATCTACGGGCTCTTAGTTTCTAGCTTACTTTGAAATGTTTTGTTTGAAATGTGTTTGTGATGGTTTGAAAGTATTTTTGAAAAGTGTCTTCTTTTAGGAGAACTTTGTAATGATTCTCGTCTCTATAAGAATGTATACAAAGTGTTAACTTTTGAAAATATTTCATGAAAGTGTTGTTATGTTTGAAAGATGTTTTGAAAGTGTAAGTGTGAAGATGGTTTTATTTGTGAGCAAGCAACTACGAGTGTTCTACCTACTCAAAAAGTCTTATTTCTTTTCCTCCTCCTTTAGATAGTGTTATCTTACCATTAGTTAGTAAGCAACCTTAGCATTGGATGTGAAGGGATAGGCGTGGGTCATCATACAATCATATAAGGCAACATTGTAGAATACTTTAGAAATTTGTTGTGAGGGTCTAAGATCATTTAACAAAGGCAACATCGAAGGGTCATCGAGGGACTACAATATTTTAATTGAGGGCCTTTTTCTAAAACATCCTACGTTCGAGGGACATGACTGTTTATATCTGAGGTAACAAGTGTGGGTTACCCTAGAGGTGCATGTGTGCAAAGTATGTTGTTTTCATTTAAATTTTCTTGAATTAGGGTTGTCTATTGTTTGGTTTTAAGTCTTGCCATACAAACCCTAATTACTAGCAATAATAAGGAAAGTGATAAATTGCGAAAATTAAATGTCCTACGCTATTACAATACTTTGGGAATGGGGTGTACAAGTTTGTGAATGGGGGGAAGAAAGCAATAAAGCCCTAATTACTATTACAAACCAATAATGATCCAAAAATAACAGCAAAAAGTCTCAAAATCAAGAGTTTTGCTGTCTGGGCTGACACGGGTTGTGTCTTATGACACGAGTGTTGTACCCCAATTTTTGCCCCTAAGATCCCTTCATCATACCATATTGATTCAATCACAACAAGATCACATTAGGGATTTTGGTTCTCCTCCCTATCTTTAGCTTTTCTCTAGAACCTTGACTTGTTTTTCTTTTGTGATCATGCATGTTTTGTTTTGACTTTCCTTTTAATTAATAAAATGCAATGTTGGTTTGTCTTACTTGTTAATAATGTAGGTAAAAGCAATGTGGCTTAGCAAGTTGATCTATGGGTTCATGAGTTTATCTCCATGCCCTAGTCAATAAAGTTTGAAAAATTCAAACTCACCATTGAAGTTGTTTTGGAAGAAATGGCATGGCAAGGTTTATTTTGGTTCACCATATTTCAACGTTATCAAGATTGATTCAAAAGTACAAGGGGTTGATTGAAGAAGTTGTCATGGTTGGACATGGCCTTGTTCCCATTGGTCACAAGTGCATATTTCTCTCAATTCTCAAGATATGGAAGTGGTTTTGGTTGCTATGAGTTCTCATTATCATCCTCAACAACTTCTATCTACAAAGCAAATGTGTTGGTACAAGAAGGTTGTTTAAAATTGTCAAAGTTCCTCAAAGCATTTTCTTGATCTAGGAGCTAGGGTTTTGAACTTTAAAGAAGTGTATCTTGCTCATCTTTTGGTATTTTTGAGTGATTCCAAAAACATCCTCCTCTTCAAAAGGTTATTAACAAATAACTTTAAAATTTCAAGGAGTTTTCATGTGGAAGAAACTTGATGATGAAGAAAGATTACAAGACCTCTAGATGAACCCCCAACTTCCCATGTGTGACTTCAAATGATCATAACTTGGTCAATTATTATCACCTTGGGCCCACCATTTTTCCATAATGATCTTGAGGATGTGAACTTTATTCCTTCTTTTATGTTCAAAGTGAGAAAATGGATGGAGAATGCCTTAATGATACAAAAGATTATAGGTCATTTCATTTTTTGCCAACTTCAACAATTCATAACTCTCTCAATTTTTGGAGATTTTGAATGGTTCAAGTTTAAAAATATCTTCAAGATTTCTATTTCATGCCATCTTTTTTGGTCAAGAGTAAATTCCAATAGGAAGGCCATGTTTAGATGCAAAACAGTATAGGTCACTTTTGAAGAAGAACTTGAAATATTTCTATGCAAAGTCAACCTCTTTTTCCCAACTTTGACTCATTGCAACTTTCAGCTCAAAAATCCATTTTATTCTATTCTTTTTCCATTGAAAAGCTTGTAATCTCATCTTTCTAAAGCATTAAGAACCATGCCCTAAGACCCCTTGAGCTGAGAATGCCATTATTTCAAAAGTGGTAACTTGGAGTTGAGGTTTCTCAAAAAGTCAGAATTTGAAATCCTTAATTTGGCTTCTAAACACAAAATTGTTGCGCGTTTTTGCTTCTAAACATGTCTAGTGAACTTCCAAAAGTGATTAGCATAGCAAAACACAAGGTTTGGATGAGTTTTGATTAAAATAGAAGTCACACTTTTCTTGTTTGCAACTTCACACGATTTCCCTCCAAACTTCATCATTTCACATGCTTGGATGTTCCATTAGCTTCCTTATAAATAGAGGGTCATTCCCCATTCATTTCCTTAATCTTTGAGACCCAAAAACAACCTGCCAAAACCTCACACAAACCCATCATTTTTTAAATCAGTTTCTGAGATTTAAGCTTCTTTCTCCAAAATTCTTTGCACATTCATCATCCTTAAGCATCATACAAACTCTCCAGCACTTAAACCAAGCAAAACGAGCCATAATTCAAGCTACAGAATTCCAATTTCAGAGCTTCTTTCTTGAACTTTGAAAAGGTATAATTCTCCACCATTTGGATCCAAATAAAGCACCAACGTATTCTACTCCTTCTCCTAATTCTTGTGCTTCTTACAATTTTTAAATCCATTGAGAATTGGGAGAGAAATCTCAAATTGAAAGTGCTCGCTATTTTATGGGTTTTTGATTCATATCTCTTTGCATACCTTATATAATTTTAGTGCGATGGTGATGTTAGGATCATCTTGAAGAGACGAATCCAATGATACTAGTCTGGGATCCTAATTTTTCCATTTGAAGGATCTCACAAAATCTCCATTGTAGGGAGTTTGGAGGTTGAAAACGATGACATGTCTCGTCTCAGCCAATGATAGCGTCCCAAATGTTTAAATTTCATTGGTTGCTTTTTCTGATCCTATGCGTATCTCACTAAGGTCCATATCAAGGACAACGCAT